GTAAAATAATAATTTTATAATTTTATACAATTAAAATTTTAAATATAATCAAAATATACATATATTTATATATTTACGGATCGGATCGGATATCCGCTTTCCAAAATTTTAATATTTGTGATTTGCTTCGATTTTAACGGATATTGAATTTTAGTATTTGCTTTGATTCGAAAGTTTACGGATATCCGGAATTTTTGGATCGAATCGAAACGAATAACGGATCGAATCAAATATAACGGATAAAATGCCCAGCCCTAGTTCATGCTCAAATTGTTGTTTGTCAAGTTCAATTTATTACGCCAAAGCGTAGAGATTTGACCCGAAAAGTATTGCATGATTTTTTTTTTTGATCAAACCATACTTGTATTTAAATTAGGAAGGTTCAAACTCCATTAAAGGAGGATACAATAAAGCTACATCGAACCAAACACAGAAAAACACTGGTAAAATAAAGGATAGGATGGCGATACAAATCATAAAAAAGAACCATAAGAGATCGTATTACAACGATTTCATAAGTTCCTTGAAAGATTGCATCTAGTGTACCCCATAGGACCACACATACTGCACCAAACGCAGAGGAGAGCACTCGTTAGGAGGAAGATCCTTGCAATACCAACGACACTTGTACATCCAATTCACTCAATACATGAGGAAATATTGGGAAAAGAGACAGCTCCAAATAGGAGACAAACGGATAATCTGTACCCGTCATACAACGGATAATATATACATGTATAGATATAGTTTTCTTACTACTTTTGTATAATGGTTTACTGACGGCTGATATATAGAACCATTAGTGAGAGTTAATTGGGCACAAGGCCATGATCATCTGATCATAAAAGTTAACTGTAACTTTCTTTTTTTTACTACTGCTTTAGATTTTCAAACGTCAGGTCTGACATTTCCCCTACCATGATGATTGATGATTGATGAAGATGCATCATCTTTCGCATCATATAAGTCAAACCACGAGATTCCAAACCCAAACCCTTTCATATTGACAATATGATATTGTGGACAAAAACCGAATTTTTGCGTGGATACCAATTAACATTATTTATCACATACTTAACATATATACGTGTACCGTACATGATGTCGAGTATGGCTGTAGCTTTTTGTAAAACTATGATTAATTGCTTAACCAATAAAGGATACAACTTATAAAATATATCTTTTGCATAACTGACAAGCATTATTCATCTTTTACCTTTTTTTGTCAGCAACCATTTTTTTGTCATAAATAGACTGTAATTATATAGAGTATTTTTCCTGAATAACAAAAACAATACATAGAATTCTTTCAAAAAAAAAACAATACAAAGAAACGTATTCAGTCATAGTTAATTTAAACCATTGTAGTAATTTGACATCATATAAATTAAGAGTTATTATATCTTAGTTATATAGCTATGTTTTTTTCATTGTAAGTTTGTAACTATGTTATGTTGCTAACTTGCTATGATTCTTATACTAATGAGTAATGACACTTAGTCCACTTAATTTATTTCTGATTGTTTCATTTCATACATGTCTTCCATTCCCGCTAAACATTATAGATTTGGTGAGTATCTACATGGGAATATAGTAATGCAATCATAATAAATAGAGAGATCGATATATATATATATATATATATATATATATATATATATATCACTGGTTTTCAACCACAAAATAGATATGCACTACTTTTTGCATTTATTTAATAGCTGAGTTTCTTGCATTTTCTGCTGCCAGGTTCATCACCACGAAGGAGACATAGGTGGGCTTTGATTGGATATTGCAACCTGTCACCCAATTCATATTATCACCATTGTTATTAGGTATCAATATTATATTTTCCAAATACATAATCGTAGTGAACAATGACATAGCATCTTAGGTGGATTCCCATTTTGATTAGATAGACTAAACGATCATTCAAATGCATGATACTTTTTTTTTGACTGAAGGCAAATGCATGATACTTTAACTGTAGATATTTAATAAGACGCTTATAGTTTTAATTAGATTTCAGAAAATTCCAAATAAGTTTCTAGGCTAAAACGAAGTTTATAATCAAAATAACCAAGGAAAAACCTTTAATAATCCAACAGAAATCTATGTGATAAAAATCGGTCACCACTGGCCATCCTTTGGCAGACTTAACTCGCAGAACTTTGGATGGTTTTCAAATATGACGTTTTCATTTGTACTATTCAATTTATTGGGAAACCAATTCGTGTTTGGTCTAAAATACCGTTTATCATTGATTTGACTATAACATTTCATATCAGTATAATAGTATATGATGTTTGCATTTTTTTCAAGAATCTGTGGCATATTCGTGAAAATGATGAGTGATATTTAGATTAGAAAAGTTTGTGATCTAACAGTCAGTTAAGCAAATTTGATTGTCTTATATATAAAAAAAAAATACTAATAATGCATGATAGATCATAGGATATAATTAATAAAACATGAATTTAATAAAAGTTGCACTTTATGTGTATTGATATTTTTAGTATCGTTTCGTGAGACCAATACTGGGATTATATACACACAAAAATAATTTGAGGGAGTATGAGAAATCAATTATTTGCTTATAGATGTTAATCTTTATTTCAACAGAAAGTGGTCAATTTTGACAACACGTACATGTACACATGCAATTATTTGCCTGTAGAGAATAGTTCCACGCTATCCACAACGTATGTTCTCATATTTGTTTATGAACCTATGATTAGATATATGCACGTACATATTATAATTTGATATGTTTCTAAAGATAAATGTTTGTCATAAGTGGATTATGGGGTATAGACGATATATTCTATGTTTCAAAAAATAAACCTCAAGATAGGGTTTATCCTCAGCATACAGTGATATGATTGATTGCATGGTTTTGAGAGAGAACAAAAATAGTGTACATGATATTCTCTTTCAAATTTCAGAGTAAAATGTGTATACAATTACACATAGGTGCAATACAACGAAGAGAAGATTAGAAAGCAAAAAAAGAAAAAAAAATACAAAATCAGAAGCGACGGAATCATTATCAATGGCTTTGTTTTCATTGGTTTGTCGTTCTGCATCACTCTAGGAGAACATACGTAAAGATTAAGTCACTATTTGTTTATCCAATCAAGACTAAGTCATTAATCATGCTAAATCATGCAATTAATTATATAAATAATGTCTATACATAACAATAATGCACATATACACGTAGAGAATGCAAACAGAGGAATTTTTTTTTGGGTCAAAAAAATGCAAACAAAGGATATATGTTAAAACACTTGCGTAGTTGTGAAACTAACCAATTCGTTACCGCATCCGCATATACATGTGCGTTTTGGCCATGCTTACATGAAGTGGTATAATTTGTGTTTGAATCTAAAAAAAGATGTTAATATTTTATTTACGTAATTTCGTTTAAATGCTAATTTAGATATAGAAATTTTTGATACAAATCAATACACAACAAGATGGTGAATTATTTCGCATGTGTGTTCCCGTATCTGCTTTTTAGTTGGAGTGGAGTCTGGCTCAAGAACATGTTAAAATATTGCACAACGAGATGCCGAGATGGAGACACTACGAATAATGGGTCTTTCAGGTCAAATATTCGAATTACATCACTTCAATTCGATTGTATAAATTGTATTCTATGTGAAAACAAAGATAATCTCTTCGTAGACTATAGTATTACGCACTCTATATGTTTTCAACTATTTAATACAGAGAAACATTTTTTTTTGTCTAAGACAGAAACATATATCTTATGAAAATAAACCTTTGATATTGTTTAGCTAGTAACTGAGCTACACAATTCTGTAATACATTAATGAATTATTGAAGGGAAGGATTCAATCAATGCCATTAAAATAAAACTTTAGAAAATTCAAAAAAAATAAAGATAAATTTACTTATATAAAGGGTATGCATAATTACCATGAAAATCATAATAATCATGCATGGTTGATCGAGAAAATGGCTTTAGTTAGCTTTCCATCAAAATAAAATCATTAATTAGGAACAAAATGGCTTCATCTTTTCAAGATTTCATACAAAGATAATCATTTGAATTTATCTAATATATCAATCAACCAAAATAATTTCTTAATAAATTATCTTTCATTCATAAAAAAACATCGACAAAATCCGTCTTGAAACTTCAGGAACAATGATCGATCTACCAAAATAATCCATTGTCGAACTTATATTTACTATTTCGTAAAAAAAATGACTATTATATTCCTCATCATTTACGTTTTTTGTTACTATTTGTTTCGATGACACTACACTTAAAGAAAATAAAGAACCTAATTATTTAAATATGTAAAATAACTAATACACAAAAGAACACAAAAGAACAATGTTATCTCAATTTCAAAAATTATATCTAAAGGTACCCATTTGTGAATGTAAATCCACATTTTATAGGTTTCGACCCTTCCAAGTATCGTATATATACAATTCAAAGGCATGGTTACATAACAGAGCAACCGTTAGGGTTCTCGTCACTGAACATTCCCGGAGGCGTGTTCATGTTCCCATGCGAGTACGGTACGTAACTCTCACTCCCATAATTGTATCCTGAACCTGGATAACTCTGACCTCCTATCGGATAACTCTGTCCTTCAATCGAGTAACTCTGGCCGTACACGTGTCCTTCTTGCCAATACATTGGAGCCGTTGGATATGAATACCCATAATAATCCATTTTATTCACCATTGCCACCGGCGCACCTCCTCCTCCTCCTACACCGTCACCTTCCTTCTTCTCACCATCTCCGGTCTCTTTCTTCTTCTCTCCACCGTCACCAGCCTCGTTTTTCTTCTTCTCTCCACCGTCTCCAGCTTCTTTCTTATTCTCCACACCCTCTTTTTTCTTCTCTACGACTTCATTTCCTTCTTTCTTTGCTTCGTTAGTAGTTCCAGCGGCTGGGGCTTCTTTCTTTGCGGCGGGAGGGGTGGCACCGTCGTCGGTTTTGGCTGGAAGAAGAGGCTCTACGGTTCGTTTGAGCTTTTTAGTGAGTAGAGGCACGAGTTCTTTAACATCCATCGTTCCTTTCACTGTCACCATGTCTTTGGCTGCATCAATAGCCACCGTTTGGACGCCTGGCGCAAAATATTAATTTATTAGCATAATTAAATTGTTTTCCGCTTTAAGAGCATCATTATCGCAGACGCTTAGGGAATTGCTTAGGTGATTTTTGAATTAAAAGAAAAAGAAAATTGTGTAATAACGTAAACAACGACGCTTAATTAAGCTCTGAAAGCGTCGGCGCTTATTGGACACCTGTCACTAGACGGGTCTATCTCCTTCGATGATTCTGATTCTCTCTTTCTCTTCAGCCAAACCTCGACGACTCCAGAGACTGTTCCCTCTTCCCTTTGCCGAACTAGAGAGAGAGGGCCAAGGGGTTAATCTGTAATGGCTTCTTTTTCTTCGACTCTTCCTCATCGAACCTCTGGTCTCCTTCTTCTTGCTGTCTTCTTTGTTTCATCATCCTTGGTCGCATCGGACACGGAGGCGCTCAAAGGTACTGCCTTTACTTTGATTCCCTTCGCTTGTTGATAAACTTAGGTTTGAATTTGAAGTTCCCTGTTGGGTTTTTGATCATTGTGAGAATTGGGTTTTGTTGGGTTCGTTCCTTTGACTATAAAGCTTTCTCCTTTGAATCATAAAGCTTGAATCTTTATCGTTGTTGTTATCCCCTGCATAGTGTGTGTGTGTATACTGTATATGTTTCTGTGTTTTGATTATTTATGTAGTGACATATGAATTCAATATCTTCAGGTGTTGGTCCTGGCCACTCTGTTCTAAATGTCAACCTTACTCTGTGTGAGCGCGTCCAAGTCTCTGGCTACCCAAGAACCGAGTTAGGAAAATATGCCCATTCTTTTAAGGTGAAGCTGGCCTGGTTCCATTGGTAACTGTCTCAGAGAGATAGGAAAATATGCCCATTCTTGCCCTTCCCGTATGATCCTGGCGCAGAGCACACAATCTTTGCCTTTGCTCCTGCATGATTTAATTAACCGAGTTTGCTGATTAGTACTTCTGTTGTAACAATTTATACTTCATTTAAGCTTAAATATCTATTTATACCTTGAGTTGGGTAAGTTTGGTAACCGTTTTTGCAGTATGATACCATCAACGGCTTTAAGAATCTCTGGGACGTATGGTTTGGAGGGTGGAGTGTAGGTTGGTTTTGGGACATATGGTTTAGTGGGAGGAGTGTATGCCCAATTCATTGGTAACGGTCTCAGAGAGATTACACAGTAAAATTCAATTGTGTCTTCACCGGTAAGTGCAACAGCTTTTCTGCTATCCATGTTAGTACGGAAAGAGAGAGAGCCTTGTTTTTCACCATTCTATCTATTGTTTCTTTTTCAGGAGTGTTTCACTTGGGATGTGCCACAGTGAGAAATCTGACTGGAAAAATCTTCAGAAGGGCCAGTGGTGCCATGTCCCCATATGATACACAATACATTGATGTGAAGTTTACTGGTGAAAGGTCTGGTTCAGTCACCATCACTGTTACATAAGTTTTGAGTTTAGTGTTATGAAGTCTGGTTTCATTTTTTCTTTTTTTTTCTTTTTGTATTTTCATTCTTTAAGGGTTCCTTGCTGCCGTGTGTTTCATTGCTTGTGCTTCAGGACATGAAGTTAGTTGTTGCATGTTTAAGTATCTCAAGCTTTCTCTGGTTTGATTTTCTCTTCTTCCATGTCATGTGTGTTTCAGTGTTTTCGAGGTTAAAGACAAGAAACCAAGAATGGTATTTCTACTGCTCGTTAAACAAGAAGTACGGCAACGGCGATAGAATGAGCAGATCCACTAAGAAGTATGGCAACGGCGCTAGAATGAGCAGATCCACTGACATAGGCTCAAGTGTTAGATTTGGTTCCTGGTTACTTTTTTTTAGGCTCAATTGATTAAATCTAATGATGATCAATTGAGCAACGCACAAGTTTTAGACTCTCTTATCATGGACTCTCTTGTACTCACTTGTATTCACATGTCACTTGTCTTTTACTCTTTTGTTGTTGTAATGAAAGTGTCACATACACATGGTGTTTGTAAGGAAAGTGTATATAGAAATTTGTATAAATGAAACTGTATTGACAAGCTCACAAGATCAAAGGTTTATTCAAGATAAAACATTTTTCTCAAGTTCATCTCAAGTTCACAAGATCAAACATTCTTTTTCTTTTTCAAACCCATTTCAAGTTACTTCTTCAATCTCAAGTTCTTTCTTCCTCATCTTCAAACAATTTATAACATATGATCAAACATTTTTCTTCTAATTTTTTTTAAAAAAAGTTTAAGCACCCCTAAATAAGATACTTGCAATGGAGGGGGAAAAATGAAAAATTGCTTAGTTAAGTTGCTTAACAAAAAAACACTTTAAATACTATTATTATATGACTAAGCACTCCATAATGGAGATGTGGGATAAAGGTGCTCTAACTTGGTTAAGAAAAAAAAACAAAAAATCATTTGTTTATTAACCTCCTTAATTACCTTTGATTTTCAGTATTATTTTCTTGATTTTCTGTATGCATCCCTCGCAATGAAGTCTAATCTTTAAAGCCACCGAGCTCTGAACAAAAACAATTTAAAGCTCAATAAGTTACATACTCAAATTGTTAGACTGGTTTTACGTTTTATCTTATTGTATACCATTTTTTAAGTTGCTTGCATAGTTTGTTTTGTCCTTATTTAATTAAATCTATACCTCTTTAGGAGCAGCCGGAGCAGGAGCCGCCGCTTTATCTACAGCGGCGTCTTTCTTCACTTCAACGGCGGCGGGAGCGGAAGATGCGTCTACTTTCGGCGGTGGTGATGGTGGCGGTGGGTTTGTCAGTACCACCTTTCTCTTCATTCTTTCCTCCAACTTCTCTTGGAGTTTCACCGCATCTATCTTTCCCACCACCATGAGTTTGTTCCCACCCATATCTACCGTCACATCTTTCACTCCAGGGAAGTGCTTCACCATTCGCTTGATCTTCTTTGCGCAGCCTTCGCAGTGCATATCCACTTTGTAAACAAAGGGAGAGGCAGCCGGAGCTGCCGGAGCTGCCGGGGCTGCGGCTGCATCTCCTCCGCCACTCTTTGGCTTGTTGTCGGTTGTCTCACTAGAGACTACGGTAGCTGCCTTCTTCTCACCTTCTTGTTTCTACATACACATAATAAACACATCAAAAAAGGTTAGTGATAACAAAAATTCAAAAATCAAGCAAAAGAGATAGAAAGCCACTGACCTCTCCCATTCTTGTCTGAAGATACAAATATTTTTTATACTATTCAAAGGATTATGAAATGTTTGAACGAGAAGAAGTGGAGGCAAATGTGTGAATATATATAGAGAAGAAGTGAGTTGGTGTGCGTGGAGGTTATTGTTATTATATAATTTGATACAGAATTGTACTGATTATTATATGGTTGGTATGTGTATGTATATAATATAATGTGTGTGTTTGTTATGGCCTGAGGTCAGCGAGAGTGGGCGTTTGACGCCGGTTCAACACAAGTGATGGTACGAGACACGAAGGCACCTAGTTTTAGAAGAGACATTAACTAATCATTAACTTCTTTTTTAGGTTTCACGAAACATTAATTAATTAGTCATGTACTCTAATCCTATTGCTTTTGAAAACAAAAAAGGTTATCATTTCTCAGCTTTGACTACTAGATGACTAGAGTCTAGATTAGCTGAACCTGAATGATCAAATTAAGGTAAAAAAAATATATATACGTACATTCAACAATGTACAACCTACCTTATAAGAAACAAATTTCAGTTAGAAACAACGCTCTTAAATGCGAACTAACCACATAAGCAAATTGTAAATGCATTTTAGCTGTCTTAAGTACGTAACTGCAGTGCGATTGTGATTGAGAGATTCGAAACTATATAGTTGCACAAGAAATCACGTAGATGAAGAGAGCATTTCAAAATTATATGCCACAAAGATAAATGTACGAGCAATATATATTTTTATATGATATATCACCAAATATAATCAGTAGAAATTAATTATCTAATATAAAAACGATAAAGGCTAGCTATAGCAATATTTTTTGTGTTCTTTCTTCATCATTAGCATATACTTATAAAATGGTACTCAAGTTATTGATTCTTTCAGTTACAAAAAAAAAAGTTATCGATTCTTCAAATTGTATTGTCTTGTCTTATTCTAAGTGAAGTGGGTACGTGGAACCTCTCTTTTTGTAAACTTTAAGGTATTTTAAAATTTCTAAGTATATTTACAGTTGTTTTAGAACGAAGTATATATTTTTTTTTCAGAAACCAACATTACTTTACAAAAAAAAAATCTAATAATTTTATCACTTCTAACGTTTACAATTCTTATATGATACATAATAACATATTTGTATATTGTAAATTCGTTTCATTTCTTACTATTTTTGCTACATTTTCTGAAATATCTGTGATACTTCAAATATATGTGGGGTATATTATGGAATAAGCTCATTTAACTCACTCAAGATCAAATAATCAAATTTATATTTTACAGTGCAAGAAGATACAAACAATCGCACATGGTTCAAATTTGTCAAGTAGTTTGACCTATTTGAATTCTTGGTACTAGTACATGAAAATTTCTAGATACGTGTGTGTAACATGCATATATTTGTAAATTATCAAAAAGAATGTGCATAAATTATTATCTATTTATATGCACATTTCAAAGAAAATTGTATATCTTTCACTATTAAGAATGTAATCTCCACGTTTTGTTTTCATATACTATTCGTTTCACCTGCCCAATGCGTATACAATACTTTACTCAATTCGTACAGCACTAATAGCATATATAATTATTAATATTTAAATTTTTACAAGATAATTAGTTTGGTCCATCGCAGATCAATTATTGATTTTAATTAAATCAATTGGAATTGTACCTCACCTCCATAGAATGATGTGGAAGCAGCTAAGAACTGCATCTACAATAAAAGAAAAACGTGGGCAGCATGATATATTAACCTTTTGAATTCTGTGAGTAAACCTAAAAAGTGAGTTTATATGATTTTTTCAACTGGAACAACAGTAAAAAGAAATAAGATAAGAAATGGTGAAAAACTGTCTGAGAGAGTTGCGTAATTGCGTTCCTTTCCTCCTTTTACGGGTCCACTTTGTCAACATCAGGTTTTTGTTGTGTTTTGTTGAATTTTTCATTTGATCCTATCAAATGACGTAATGTCTGAAGTGAGCACATCTTACTTTAACATGAGACATAGAGTTTCATTAATAACTTTCTTTTTCTGTTATATGAACTTTTCTACTTCATAAATTTAACGATTAACAACACAAACGTGAGATTAAGTTTATGTTTGTATTTTAAATGCCATGTTATGTGTGTGTGTGTTTTTTTTTCAGTTTGGAGTTTAAGCTTCAAGGTTTAACATAGCAATGTGGTCACATGCTTTTAGTAGTTATTATCATACTGATATCGCTTAATACGATTCCCACAGACGTAATTGTTATCATATTGATATTGCTTAATACGATTCCCACATCCTATCTTTTAAAAGAAATTGAATGTTGAGAATGGGTAACTGGGATTTGAATACACTTATAACTGTGCAACATAACATTTCTTTTGCACAGACAAAGGTATGGTAAGCCTTTTCTGTAAAGCGGAATAAGAGAAATGTGTTATTGAGCAAACAAAAGAAATGGTTCTTGTAAGCAGCATTTGTACAAGTAATACAGCTAAACTCGGAACATTAGTCCTCAAAGTAAAAAGCGACACTGTAACATGTTCATATGATTAAATCCACAATACTAACCAAAACCATTCGACTCAAATATTAGGAGGCATCATAAACTAGAAGACAGCATGAACGCCTACAATCTAATGGTTGAACGTTACCACAATCTTGAATACGATAATTCACAAATTCAAAGCAAAGATAATGAACCTCTTCTGGCAAAACTAGATTTTAAAACATCCAGTTTATTCAGTCTATATTTTCAAAAGAACAAATACTATCGTCCATTGACTTTAGTTGTAAAATAGTATCTAAGAAATGAACCATATTGAAATTGTATGTTTAATAAACTAAACACACTGATTAGAGTCTGGGCTGAAACTAATCAAATTTATTGTTTTTGGGCCTACTTCAACTCTTGACTAAAACAATTAGTTTAATATTAATCAGAGATTTTCACATTCAATTGTTATTGTTTCAAGTTTATCTTTAATCAGAAATGAAATTCAACTAATTGTTGTTGGGCCCACTCGAAAGCAGGACCCTCCAAAAATAGGCGTATGCCACTTAGCGTGGAGAGCACACGGTATTCTTTAGTAAAAGGCGAAAGAATAGTTCGCTTTGTGCTCACCACATGGCTGCGTGATTTGCCAACAAGGCAAGAGACTTATATTTATACTGAAACTTCTGCTGCATGATTCTCCAGTTTTCCGATGTGGGACTCTTAAACAAAAAAGACCACACCACAAAGGCGCTACTATTTAATACTCATCGTGGGCTTATAGGCCTGAAATAATATTGGGCTTTAAATACAAACTCTAGTCTTCTGGTTTTCATTCAAACCCGCCAAAATTAGGTTTATTAATAACGAAGTGAGACTTCTCTAGGGTTTCTCTTCTTCATCGTCGGCTCCAGATCCTCCTCCTGCTTCGTAAGTTTTCTTGTTATAAATTCGTTTTAGCTTCTTACAGTTAGCAATAAATCTCGCGCATTGACGACTCAAATCCAACTTAACTTGTGCAAGTTCATTATATACTCAGGAGTTTATAGAGATGGGAAGATGTCCGACTAGGAAGGTGAAGAAGAGGCGCCTGTCTCACAAGACAGCTCGTCGTGACAAATTCGAAGTCAAAGGCGACGATTTGGTGTACACTGAGTTGCGTAAACCAGAGAAGGAGGCAAAGCCTTTGGAGCTTAGTGAGGATTTGCCTGGAATGGGCCAGTTCTACTGCTTACACTGCGAGTATGATTTTAGATTAGATGTTTCTTTTTCTTTGATCATTTGTTTGTTTAAATCAGTCATGTGTGTTTCTCTGATTCATGTTTCAGTCGGTACTTCTCTAATGCCTCTGTGCGTGATGATCATTTCAAGACTAAGAAACACAAGAAGCGGTAAGTGGGACACTCTTCCTCGTCTTGCTTACGTTGTTGACATTAGATATGTCCTGTTTTGTTATGTTGGAGCTGAATAACTATGAGTAATTGCTAGTTTTAAATAGGGACTTAAATTGATACTACTTAGTGTTGAGGGGTTTGAATCACTTGTGTGTTTGTCGGAATTTGATTTCTCCATTTGGATTGTTGCAGTGTGAAGTTGATGAATGGACCAGCGCCACACTCACAACTCGATGCTGATTTAGCTGCTGGAATGGGCATGCCGGACAATGGTCCAAAACTCATGGCTGCTTGAGTTTTGCTTAAGTCTTTTTTTTTTTTTTGCTTTCTTAATAGATCACAGTTAATGGAACCTGTGGATTGTTGTTGTAAGGTGGTCCTTAGTACAACTCCTAAATTAACGATAGTAAGTTTTTTTCCCTGATTGTCTTACAATGATATAAGCTAAATTATTTACACCTTCACTTCACAGGAAAGGCTGGTAGGTTGATCATGGATTAATGGATGTTACAGAGGTGAACATTTAGATTAATCATAAGAATAATAACAAAACTATACAATTATATCACAAACTTAGTTCAAAGAATCAGTTTTTAACAAAAAAAGAAAAAAAAAGTTCAAAGAATCAGTAAAAAAAAGAACATGTTCTGGTGTTTGTTTGTTGTCTTCTTCTATATGACCAAAGTACTAATCATCATGTTCCTTAACCCCAAAACTCGACCCTGACGTCACACCAATAACTTCACTATGCGTAAACCCCTGCAACTGTATTATCCTCGCGTTGATTCCGTCAGGATTGTTCTTGAGAATATGCGAACGCGAAAATTACTTAAAAGGCCCATAAAATATTAGATGGGCCTAACAATAGATAATTTGCTTAAAAGGCTAAGGAAAAAAAAAACAGGCGCCACAACAAAAGCCTTAAAGAGTTAAGAATATTCTTCTCCTTCGTCTCCATCTCGTACATCTCTGATTCTAGAGAACGCTTATTCGGCGACGAGAAGATCTATCTACGATTTGAGTAACATACAAAATGGCGTCTGGGATCGTCGGAGGAGGCGGATCCTTATCGGAGCTATACAGTAGCGCGAAAAGGATCCTCCTCAGAGCTCGCGACGGGATCGAAAGGCTGGAGAGATTCGAATCCGCTGCTCTTACCGATTCTTCCGATCTAACCTCCTCCGTGAAACGTGACATCACCGAGGTCCAATCTCTCTGCGCTAGCATGGATGGTCTCTGGCGTTCAATCTCCGTTAAATCCCAGCGCGATCTCTGGAGAAGGTGAGAGCAAATCCGTTGTTTTATAAAAAAGAAAATTCTTCAGATTTAACAAGAAATTGAGAATCTCGAGATTGATTAGAATTATCGGAGAATGAATCTTAGATCAGTGACGTCATTTGGTTCAAGTTTACAAATGCTCATACGTCACGGCCCAATGGGCCTATGGTTTTTGAATCTCTTAAGTAGTGCGTAAACATTAGAATATGTTTAAACCGGGTTCTTAGGATGGAGTGATGATTAAACCGGGTTCGTAGGGCGGGGTTAGAACTGTTTCTTAGCTGAACACTGAATAACAAGTTCTTAGCCTAAAAATGGAAAAAAAAAAAGAGATAAAAAGTGTCAAATAACCGTGTTAATGATGCTCTTAGAGTTAGTTTCATTAGATTCTTTTATGATAAGTTAATGTATGTTAATCTAATAATGCAGAAAGAGTGAACAAGTTGGGGAAGAAGCAGAGTATTTGAACAAGAGTCTGGAGAAATACATGTGGAGGAGTCAGAGGAAGATGAATGAAGCTAAAGAGAGGGCAGATTTGTTGAACAGAGGGAGCGGAGAAGGAGCACATATCTTGCAGATATTTGATGATGAGGCTCAAGCGATGAGCTCTGTGACGAACTCAAAGAGATTGCTTGAAGAATCGTATTCAAGTGGAGTTGCTATCCTCGCCAAGTATGCTGAACAAAGAGATCGTTTGAAGGTTTAAACCTTTCTTCTTTACTACTTAATCTAATTTTTATGTCGTTAATTAACACTGTTCTGTTTTTTTTGGGAAATTCACAGAGGGCACAGCGTAAAGCTTTGGATGTTTTGAATACGGTAGGGCTCTCCAACTCTGTACTCAGGCTCATTGAGAGGCGTAATCGTGTTGACACTTGGATCAAGTACGCTGGTATGATCGCAACAATTGTCGTATTGTATCTGTTCATAAAGTGGACACGCTGAATCTGAGGGAATTGGGAACGGATGTAGTTACACAGATTGTATGTAGAGAGAGGATTATGTGACTTGGATCTTAGTTCTTGTGTGCGGGGATATATGATGCATTTTTTGGTTTATGACTCTTACAAGACATCTCCTGCATCTTATATAGTTCCATCAAGTTTGAGATTGTCAAAATATGTCTCCATTTACTTTGCTTATTCATTGATGATAAACCATTTTCTTACCAAATGAGAGATTCTACAGCCACAGGCGTAATGGACTATATATATAGTATTGGTTAAATTGCTAGAACAGAAAGAGGGCAAGCTGGCTGTGAGAATGTACTGGTTTGATACCAATGAGAGATTCTAACACCTGTTATGACAGCAAGCTTATCATCATTAGCCTCCCTCTATTTTAGATGTTTTTCTTTCAGTTGTTAGTGGAGATTTGTAACTCGCTAATTGAATAAATGGGCAAAACTAACGATCTGTAATATTTTCGAATATTCAAGTATCATACCCATTTGCTCAAACCTTTGCACATTTGGAAAAAGATTTTTTTATGAGATCATTCATGATCATTTAACTTTAGATAACTCTTCCTAAATTGATTCAGCTTCAGCTTTGTTATCAGCTGATCTTTCTTGCCATTCATGATCATTGCAAAATGTAAAAATTTCAAACATTCTATTCTTAGTAATTTTACTGTAGCTCCAACATTCTCTTCACTAATAGAGTAATAGTACTTATCAGTTGGTCTATTAGTATTTCAATAATTCATTAATTATTGATAGACATCTTTCACAGCTTATTGATAGACCTTTTATAGAGAGGTAGTAGTGTCACATTTTTTTGTCAGTTTCCTCTCCACTCGAAGACATTCTTTCTTCATGCCTGATTCCCTTAATGCAGACTATTTAAAATAACACATCTACAATAATGCATGCGCAATAGTGTATATACGTTATTGAGAATTTTCAATAAAAATAGTGAAGTTTTTTGTTTTCTTCTAAGTCGTCGGTCGAATAAGAAAACAACTGTGACGGATAACTTTATTTATACTATCATGTGTATGAAACTAATAAAAATAGTGAAGTTATGTTAATCTAATTTTTTTTTTCTTTGGATATAATCCAATCTTTCAGCGGTTATAGTGAGTCATATATGATATATAGAGTTTTATTTTTTGCCTTACGATTCTGAATAGATCTTAAAGACCAGTTTCGATGGAGGAATATGATTTACTTTTTAAAGTCGGTAATTATAAAATTAGTGTGATTTGGACATTAATTTTTGGCATGCATATAAATTTGAAATTCCATATTAATAGTAGATGATGATGGGGGATATGATGGTAACATATATGTATATGTATGTAGCTGTCTTTGATCAAGGATTGTTTGATTAATGATTTAAGTATAAGCACAGAGCGTGGAATTTAAAAAGTATCACATTAAAGAAATGCAAGTGGGAATAGTGTTTGCATGTGTTTTATTTTGTGTTTATTGATAAGATTTGAGATACCCTAATGAAGGTGAGGGGAACAAAACAAAGTAGAATACCAGATACACTGATCTTTTTTATAAAGCGTAGTATGTTGGCAGACTAGTTGGAAATTATGTGAAAGGTTTAAGTTGCTTGATTCATATATTGATTTGATGTGGATCGATAGTCATTAATGGTTAAAAGCAGTAGTANGTGTTTATTGATAAGATTTGAGATACCCTAATGAAGGTGAGGGGAACAAAACAAAGTAGAATACCAGATACACTGATCTTTTTTATAAAGCGTAGTATGTTGGCAGACTAGTTGGAAATTATGTGAAAGGTTTAAGTTGCTTGATTCATATATTGATTTGATGTGGATCGATAGTCATTAATGGTTAAAAGCAGTAGTAGTGCTGTAATGTTTTGAAATTTTATTTTAACAAAGTTGTTTTATTGATTCTGTAAAGGTAGTTATTTGGTAAGCAAATAATTTGACGTATATGTTGACTTATTGCTCAACGAACTGGCACCAAATTTGAGTTTGACATCCCTTGATAGTGTTGTGGTTTTGATGAAAACAAGTTCGAACAACAAACCATCATCGTTTCTATTTTTTTTTTTCGTTTCTATTATTTTGTGCGTTTCAAGAGTTTAATTTTGTAAGAAAACTTAAAGCTAAGATATATTTATATACTATAAGGAATATGTAGCACCAAAGAAAAATAATCTAACATTAATATTCGAAAAGGATGTGTGATTTTATGGTATGAACAGATCTTTGTATCACTCTTTTTCATGGTAAAAACAATATGTAATCTTCTTAGCTTTTAGGTCCCGAAGCTTTCATATAATGTACCCACTTGGTTGCAATTGCTGCAGGCTGATAAGTCCAAAACATTATCTCTCTATTAATGCATCGAATTATTAAGAGACAAAAAGGTTAACCAACATGTAACTGTAGCTTAATGCTCATAATAAATATTGGCTGTATCCTTTATATACAGAAATTGATCTGTTTGACACATTTCTTTCTTGATCACTAAATCATTAGCATGTAACAGCTACAGGTTTGACAAAACATAGAGGTAAGTCATTAAAATATAGGTAAATTAAAACTCATGGATAACATTTAAAATCCTCATAAAAAGAAAGTTTTCGATAATTCATTTTTAGTTTTAGGAGAAAAGAGATCAATAGTACAACATGAACGTATCCTCTGTCTTGTTTTCATCAAACCACAAGCTGTTGCTACTACTACTCGTACAACTACTACTTATTAAGTGATTGATCTCATCCATTCCATAATCTTCCATTGATCTCTCTTCATGATGATGATCATGTTGTTCCGTCTTCACTCTTGCTACTGTCCTTGTTGTACTTGACCCACTTCTTACATCACTCAACAACATTATTCCTTTGTTTGTACTTTGCTCCTGGCTGTCTTCTTGATGGCTCATTATAAGCTTGTTGCTATTTGCAGAAATTACCAAACTGTCCATGGCTTCTTTGTATAATAGTTGTTGTTGTTGTTGGTCCATCATTGTCATCATCATCTCCTGATGAGGTGTCATCAGCTGATTGGAAGATATTGATGAGTTATACGGAGGAAGGCGATTTGTCATGTAATAGTGTGAAGAAGATGGTGATGATGATTGTGATGAGGCAGCGGCTAAGAGTTGATGAGGTGGTGGAGGAGCCATAGTGGCCATGAGCTTCTTCTTGAGCTTAGTGTTCCAATAGTTCTTAATGTCATTATCAGTTCTACCATGCAGGTGAGCTGCAATTACTGACCATCTGCATTTTCAACATGATTAATTATTCCTTTGTTATAACCACAATTAAATAAAAGATTTATCACTTAAATAATTCTTCAATAGTTGTCAAAGTGAATTTGCTCCCATCTGTTTTCCTAGATTATGAACTAAAGAACATACCCTCAAAAGGGGGCAATTATGCGGCAAAAAATGTAGGCATGCAAAAGCTAAAATCAATTATTTTTCATAAGAAAGAAATAAATTAAAACTTCCTTGAAACATGCAAAGTCTCTTTCTTTTTTTGATACCCACTTAATTTCTCCATTTCTTTCCCACGGTTTTAACAAGAGTTTACATGAATAAGATCAGATATACCCACCCCGATTATTAATACTGGAATCATATCAGTTTTAGTATTAGAAGTTGAAGTTGAAGCTAGACTCATATTTAAAAAAAAAGAGTTGAATATAGACAATTTTTTAACCTGCTTCCAATGGAGGCAAAGAGGCTGCAGATAATCTTGTCTTCTTCCTCAGAGAAATCTCCATGTCTTATGTTTGGCCTCAAATAGTTTAGCCATCTCAGTCTACAACTCTTTCCACATCTCCTTAAACCTTTATTCATCATATTATACAAAATAAATAAAATCATCCCCAAGACCCAACAAGGGTTTAAAATCCAAAGAGACCATCAAATAAATAAAAAAATCTCCAATAAATCAACCCATTCAAACCATGAGATATAAATAAATACCAGCTTTGTGAGGGAGCGCAATCCAGTTGCCACCAGTGCCTTGTTTCTCTATGTAATCTTTAAGCTTTGAATCTTCTTCAGGAGACCATGGACCTCTCTTCACATTTGCCTTGTCACAACATGGAGCCCTCCCCATCTCTCTCGGTCCTTATAGCTACTCTGTGTGTTTTGTTTTTTGAAAGAGAAGAGAAGAGAAATAAAAAGTGTGTTCTGCTGGTTCTATAATTATCAAAGGTCGACGACATATACTTATTGCTATATGTATTGGAAATGCCCAAGTCAAAGAAAAACCTATTTTCTATTTTCTTTCCATTATGCCTTTCCCTCTTCACCCCATGTGGATTAACTTCATTATTATAAATATAATACAGTAAAATAGTATATACTTATATGGAGAGAGAGAGAGATGAGAACAATGGATTATAAGAAAAAGATGTGTGATTTTGGTCGCCAAAGCAAAACAATATCCAGCTGGTCTAAGTTGTGAAAGTGGAGAAAATTCTAAAAAAATACAATTCTCGTTAATAATTTAATTAATCAAGTGATTTAATGCTTTTCTATTTTATTTTAGAACAGTTGGACAAATGGTTTGTGGAAAGAAAACAAATGGACAAATGGTTTAAAGTTTTCTGTGCATCCCATTTTAATTATTTGAACATACGTGTTTGTCTTTTGAAAAGACCAGGCAACCCTTCATCGACCGAGTTTTTCCGGTTCATTGTCTGCATTGTATTAAACAGAATCAAACCAACCCCAATCAACCTGATTTTCAGCTTTAATTCTGCAGATTTAGGTTAGTAATAATTTTCATCAGGATATATGCACTAGATAACCTCATACTAAATATGAAAATTTAAACTTTATTTGATATTCAAAACCCTTCTTTCAAAAGAAGTAGTATCACATATATATGGTCTAAGAATATGGTAATAAATACTATCATAAATGAAAAGAATGGTGCATGTAGATTTTATAGTCAAACATTTATGCATGGTATTAATTTTCTTGGTACACTATACACCAATAAAAAGAGAAGTAAATAATACTTCATGGACTGCCTCTGGCCAAAAGTAGTGACTAGTGATAAGAAAAAAATAAGATAAAATAACACGAGAAATTGACATTAAACCAAAAAATTAGAGAAAGCATGAAAACGACGTATACGACTTAGGCCTGGGCATCCGGGTCCTCGGGTCGGGTTCGGGTCGGGTCATGTCGGGTCCGGGTCTTTCGGGTCTTAGAAATTTAGACCCATATGGGTACCTATAGTTTTTCGGGTCGGTTCCGGGTCGGGTCTTACCGGGTCCGGGTCGGTTCGGGTCTATAATTCCAATACCTGTAAAATACCCGTAATTTTCGGATCCATATCGGGTACGGATCGGGTCCGGGTATTTAGAATCTAAAAAATACATAACATGCCCAAATTCACTCAAATTCAATCAATATTTTTCATATATATCTAAACTTTTATAAAATAACTTAAATTAAACTATTAATAATTAAAGAAAACATTTTTAGACTCTAAATTTTACATTTTAAAACTTTATATTACTTAAAAATGTTACAAATAATAATAAATATTGTTAAAAAAAGATATTTCAACTAACTTATAAAATAGTATAGATATATAAAACATAACATAAAAATAATAGTTTTGTATATACATGTTTATAAGTCGGGTACAAATCGGTTCTTATCGGGTCGGGTCTATTCGGGTCGGTTCTTTTCGGGTACGGGTCTATTCGGGTCGGTTCTTTTCGGATCCGGGTCTATTCGGGTAAAAGAAATTTAGACCCAATAGGTACTTGTAAATTTTCGGGTCGGGTTCGGGTCGGGTATTTTCGGGTCGGTTCCGGTTCGGGTCTTCGGGTCCGGGTAAAATGCCCAGGCCTAATACGACTAAGTCATTTCCCACAAGACTTTGTCCTTTTTTTTCTTGACATCTTGCCACAAGACTTTGTCAAAGTGATTGATCCCGAGGCCACCATACATACATACATAAATTCTCATGAGGAGAATATATGTATACAAGCATTTACTGTTTTCATACAAAGACGTGTATTTGTTTCTATATACACATACAGATGTAGTAGCAACAAGTTTGTGGATTTGATGGGGCAGCGGTTTAAGTTGGTAAAGTTGGTGCGGCATTTTTCAAAACTATATTTAAGAGGGTTTCCGGAAATGACAATATAACTTGGTTACACTCATTGCTTATTTTAGAGAGAGCTACATGCCTACACACTTCTCAGTTCTCAATCAGTAAGAGTATCATCACTCTATACACCAAATAGCAGTTGCGTGCTCTGTCTACTTGGCGAGCATTCATTACTAATACCATCACAAAATGGATGTATAATTCCTTACGATTGCTATATACTTATTAATTTAGTATGCATCCATATTAATTATCAACTTGTTGATTTCATGTATGTTTTTTAAGTTCTAGAACACGGTTATAACGTTATATGCGTTAAATGAACATATTACAACATTAGACTACTCCAGACTCCAGTTATAATTAATTAATCTAAAATTGTATACTTCTAATTATTGAGATGGAATCCCTACCCGCAAAGATTTTTCAGTGACTTCATGGTTATACCGAGAGGTTGAAATCTATGTATAAAAATATTGTATTAAATAGGGCAATAATTGATAAAGGGGGTCTTATATACAATAACATTGTATGCCTCTTACATGATGTTCCACTAAAATAGGTGCCTATCTTTAGTCAAAGAAAAAAGGGTGCCTATCTTGTGAATATAGACGTATTATGGAAGATCTCTTAGATGTTAATCCTTACAATTATCAATTATTGACATGTAACATCTAATATAATACGAGCTAGTAATTTTATCCGTATACTATATATAAAATAAACAATCTACTTTAAAATGATATATTTTTGTGTTAATTAAAAAATAATATGACACTATATCATGAAAGCAACTATATATACATTGTTTTACAGAGGCCAGTGCTAAGGTTACTGTTCGTTTACCTAGTATCAGAAGATTCAGAGCTAAGCCATTTAGTTGTGATTTGTGAAGAACCTATTTTAGTCTTTGGTTCAGTAAGGCCATAACATAAACCCATTCCAAAGCATTTCTTGTGTTGGAAAGCCTCTGAACAATTGATTTGAGAGGGGTTTAATTGTTAAGGCTTACTAGTTACTAGATTAGGCATGTGGAAAATCACCCGTGAACTTGTTTCCTTTGTTGCACGGCTGCACTTGGTCAAGTCAAAAATTTGGTGACAAACCTATATACAGTATGAGAACTGAGTTTCGTGTACGTAGTATTTGAAACTTGATAGGAAAGAGTATTCATCCTTGTCGCGACACCTTTAGCCAGTGTATGAATAAATCAGAAAATTTATACTCTCATCAAAATCTAATGGCAGAAAAAGTGATGATAAATTTGGCAGTCTTATAGGATGTGCGCGATTGTTTAGTTATTAAGATGAGTTAAAATATTAGAAAGCCTTTTTCAAAAAAAAAAGTATATTAAAAATATCAGTATTTCATATTTTTTTTAAAGTAAAAAAATAAATTCTCAAATGATTTTGTAAAGATAATTTATAGAAACTTATGAAACACTTATCTCGCAAGAACAAAACTGTTATTTTGATTAAAGATTCGTTATATAAAAAATATTTATATTTTCTAACGGACCTCTTAAGTATTTTTTGACTGAAAAAATGCTCTATAGTTGTTTTATACACAAATGATCAATTTTGATACATACATCAAATATTAGATTTAATTAAAGAAACTCCCAATTCTCTCCATGTGGATATTCTCTGAGTTCCCTATAAAATAGAACTTGTAAGATTTATTTTAAAATTTTGTGCAAAAAAAATTATTTAAAATTACTCAAATTGAGTTAAGAAAGAAAAAAAAAAGAATGGGGGGACATGGGAGCGTGTTGAGTCCACGAGAAAAAGCGTAAACGACAACGTTTTTAAGCATAACGTCGTGTCACTTTCTTTACCTTTCTTCCATCGTCTCAAAACTATCTCCTTCTCTACCACTTCCCTCACACCTTTACCAAACACACACACACACACAAGCCAAGAGACTACTACGTACACTCATCATCACCTCTCTTCTCTCCAATGGCTGCCATTACCACATTCTCCGCTCTCTCCATCCCCATCTCTCCTCCTCCTACCTCGTCTCCTCTACTCAACTCCCCTCCCTGTCTCTCCAGATTCTCAAACTTGTCTCCGTTTCCCTCACTCTCCACCTCTCGCAAAAGAAAGATTCTAACGTGTTCTTCTTTTAGAGAAGGAGATGAAACGGTTGAAGAAGAAACAAGAGGTGGTGATGAGGAGAGTAAAGAGACTCTGATGTTATCAGTCTCTCCTCTGCCTCTCCTCCTCGTTGCTTCTCTCCCTGGAGGTAAACACAACCTCAAAATTTTGAACTTTAAGTAACCCATTTGTTAGAGAACGTGTTTATTTATTGATTAGTTGAATCAAGTTTTGGCCTTTGTGACAAATGTTGAAGTTTAATTCACTAGTGAACACTTGGACCAATAAGGTTATGTTAATGTCTATCTTTGGTTGTGGCAGCTGGAACTGTAAGATCTGTTATTGGACCCTTTGTGGAGATTGTGAAGTCATTGGATCTACCTGATTGGCTTGTGCACTGGGGTCATCCTGGGAACATGGTTAGCTTCCTCTTCATTACCAAGTTTCATGCTTTTTCTTCTTCTTTTGTCTCATTTGCAAGTACCCACACACATTTTGTTCGAAAAGCGTGTTTCTTTAGACATATATGTTCTGTTAGGTGGATGAAGTATGAACTTGTTCTNCTGGGAACATGGTTAGCTTCCTCTTCATTACCAAGTTTCATGCTTTTTCTTCTTCTTTTGTCTCATTTGCAAGTACCCACACACATTTTGTTCGAAAAGCGTGTTTCTTTAGACATATATGTTCTGTTAGGTGGATGAAGTATGAACTTGTTCTTGTTTTGTATTTTGTGACGTGTTTCCTCTCAGGCAGTGGTTCTTTTTGCTATGGGTGGATACGGAACATACCTAGGCTTCAGGATTCGTTATTCAGATGACATTGTAAGAGAGATGTTAACTAAGTATATATAATGTTTCAAGAACCGTTGTTGTTGATTAGAGAGTGTTTTTGTTTTTGTTTGAAAATGGTTAGGAGGAGAAGGCAAAGGCGAAAGACCTGCATCCGAAGCTTCTAGCAGGAATGTTTTTCTTCTTCGCCCTTGGAGCCACTGGTGGTATCACTTCCCTCCTTACCTCAGACAAACCCATCTTCGAAAGGTATCTTTCCTTTCTCACATATACTAAACTCTCATTGTAACAACGAGAGATGATGACCCTCTTTGAACTTAGTACTAGAAATGATGACCCTGTTTACTAGAGATGATGACTTTCTTTGAACTTAGTATTGAGTTTTTTTTTTCTTTTTCAAATACAATGATTGTAATATAAATATCATTGTGGGGTTGGTGCTGTAGCCCGCATGCTGTCACAGGATTCATAGGTCTTGCTCTCTTGACGATTCAAACAATCTTACCAACTTTGTTCAAGGTAAAAAATAGTGTCATGCAGGATCTTGACACCTTAATGATTTTATAGAGAGTTAGGACCAAGAAACTGTTTTTTTTTTTTGCTTTTAGGACAAGCCTGAGCTGAGGGGAGTTCATGGGATCCTGGGGAGTGGGATAATGGCGCTTTTTCTAGTCCATGCTGCTTTTGGACTTCAGCTCGGTCTCAGTTACTGATATCCTCCTCCTCTCATATGATTTGTATTCTTCAGCTGCAACCACAACAATTTAATTACTTGAGAAGATAAATAGAGGCAAATAAATTTGTAAAATAATGTTCACATGATTTCTATTGTGTATAATTTCTATGTTACATAAACTGATGCTCATATTTTTTTTACCTTCGTTTTTGAATTAACACCAACCAATTGGTCTGAGTGTTTTTGAGTTTCTTGTGTTTTCGGCTTCAACATCCTAAACATCATTCGGATTATATAACTGAGACAAGGTAGCATTACATAGGACAGATTTTGCAAGTTTATCTGCAGCAGAGTTTAGAAGCCTAGCCAGAAATTTAAAAGAGACATAGCTGAAAGAAAGAGATCCCGTAGAGACCAAAGAAAGCCAAACGTTAACAACATCCCCTTTTGGAGCTAAAACATACTGTAATATTATTATAAACTCTTGAGAACCTTTTCTGCATTGATTATCTTCTCCTTAACAACATCTCCATCTGGCTGCGACATTGAGGCTCTGAGCTCAGCCAATGCAACAACTGCATTGTTTCTCAACACTTCTCTCTCCGCTAAGCAACTTCTAAGAGACGACATCACTTGTTTGGCCTCCTCGAGAGTTGTGGTGGAGCCTCCTAATCCAACCTCAATACACTTATCAATCTCATCTAAAGTGTCTTGAAGTGTTTCTCTGGGGAGAGAAGTCGTAACAGTGACTTCTCTCTTAGTACTCATCCAGCAAACATTCAAACAAGATTCAGAACAAACTCCAAGTCTGAATCTCGGGGGCCTAGAAAAAAAGGGGAAAAAATGATTTAGTTACGAGAAAATGCTTAATCCCAACTCAATTTCCCTGCAATGATTTGGGAGTAAGATTTATTCTTCTGTGTGTGACAGATACATTCTGTTTCTGAAATATCAAAAAAAGAACCGGGTTGGAGTTAATACAAACGATGTCGATACCGGGTCGGGTTACTCGTCCCACCAACCACACTCCACACCAACGACAACGAGGTTGGTGAGATAAAAATCCAAAATTCATCTCCACCGTCCATCTCTTCTCAACACAATCTCAACGGTCTTAAAAGAATCACACTACCCTACACTCAAAAACACATAATCAAATCTCCTCCAACCATATAATCCCAACGAAGGTTACCACGAGAAGAGCGGACCAACCACACACAGAGCGAGTCTCACTCCGAGTCACCCGGCGAGTTTTTCAATAAATCTCTCCCAGATCTCGAATCTCTCCTCTATACACTTCCTTACCAGGTTTGTCTCTCTTCGACCCATTTCTCCTTTAGATCTGTTTTAGTTATAATTTCGTTAGATCTGACGAAAGTTCGAACCTTTAGATTGTGTCGGTGGAGAAACTATTCAAAGGTTTAAACTTTATTGATTTTTTGTTTAAATTTTGTAGCTTTTAGAGAAAATGGAGACGTTTTTGTTCACATCCGAGTCCGTAAACGAAGGACACCCCGACAAACTCTGCGACCAAGTCTCCGACGCGATCCTCGACGCGTGTCTCGAACAAGACCCCGAGAGCAAAGTCGCTTGCGAGACCTGCACCAAGACCAACATGGTCATGGTCTTCGGCGAGATCACGACCTCCGCCAAAGTGGACTACGAGAAGATCGTTAGATCCACTTGCCGTGAGATTGGTTTCATCTCCGCCGACGTTGGCCTCGACGCCGACAAATGCAACGTCTTGGTCAACATCGAGCAGCAGAGCCCCGACATTGCTCAGGGAGTTCATGGTCATTTGACAAAAAAGCCTGAGGATATTGGCGCCGGTGATCAGGGACATATGTTCGGTTACGCTACTGATGAGACTCCTGAGCTTATGCCTTTGACTCATGTCTTGGCTACTAAGCTTGGCGCGAAGCTTACTGAAGTGAGGAAGAACAAGACTTGTCCGTGGCTGAGACCAGATGGGAAGACTCAAGTCACCGTTGAGTATAGGAACGATGGTGGAGCGATGATTCCGATTCGTGTCCACACGGTTTTGATCTCGACTCAGCATGATGAGACTGTGACCAACGATGAGATCGCTGCTGATTTGAAGGAGCATGTGATTAAGCCGGTGATTCCCGCTAAGTATCTTGATGACAACACTATCTTTCACTTGAACCCGTCTGGGAGGTTTGTGATCGGTGGGCCTCATGGTGATGCTGGATTGACCGGGAGGAAGATTATTATTGATACTTATGGTGGTTGGGGAGCTCATGGTGGTGGTGCTTTCTCAGGGAAAGATCCAACCAAGGTTGATAGAAGCGGTGCTTACATTGTGAGGCAAGCTGCGAAGAGTGTTGTTGCTGCTGGACTTGCGAGGCGTTGTATTGTTCAGGTTTCGTATGCTATTGGTGTCCCTGAGCCTCTCTCTGTGTTTGTTGATACTTACAAGACTGGGACTATTCCGGATAAGGATATTCTTGTGTTGATTAAGGAGGCGTTTGATTTTAGGCCAGGGATGATGGCTATTAACCTTGATTTGAAGAGGGGAGGTAACTTCAGGTTCCAGAAGACTGCTGCTTATGGGCATTTTGGGCGTGAGGATCCTGATTTCACTTGGGAGGTGATTAAGCCACTTAAGCCAAAGGCTTAAGCAGAAAGGTGGTAGGTGCAAGAACTCTGATGAGTTGCTGAGACACTCTCTCTCTCTCTCCCTCTTCACTATTGGGAACTTTATCCATTAATTATACCATTGTTATTGGGGAAGATTTGAATAATGTTATACATTTTACTATTTGTTTTTGCTGCTATTGGAGTTCGAACACAAAGGCCATGTGTGTGTTAGTGAACGAA